GATGGTATGGCTGTCTCAGGAGGGGAATGTGGGAGCTGTGAAGACTGGAGGATGGGCAGGGGCAGATATCCAAGGGCTTGGAGGCAGTGTTGAGGAGGAACGTTAAGCAAGGGAGTCTGATCAGACACGTGAGAGACAGTGGAAACTTGAACAAGGTAGTTGTGATGATAGAAGGCAAGGAGTTGGAAAAAGTATCTGAGAGAAAGGACAGAGCTTGACTAGATGTTGGAGATGAAGGAGAAATACAGTCAAGCATGACTCCTTGATTTCTGGCTTGAGAAAAGGAATGAACCCTTGTGTCAGTCACTGAGACAGGAAATCCTGGGAGAGGACCAGGATTGGGGAGAAGGGCTATGTGTCTGCTTTTAGAGAAGTTGAGTTTGAAATACTTTGAGACTGCCAAGAGACAGTGTCAAGCAGGTGGTTGGATATGATGGGACATGGATGTCTAGCTGTTCAACAGAACCTTCTGTGACGATGGAAATAGTCTATATCTACACGGTGTAACCTTTTAGCTTCTACCCACATGTGGCCATTTCCATGTCAATGAATTAAAAGGAAATGCTTAGTCTCTCAGTTGCCCTAGGCCAGTGGTCGGCAAACTGCAGCTCTTGAGCCACATGGGGCTCTTTGGCCCCTTGAGTGTGGCTCTTCCACAAAATACCACGTGCGGGCACACACGTACAGTGCGATTGAAACTTCATGGCCCATGCCAGAAGTTGGTTTTCTCCAAAGAAATGTCAATCGTTGTATTGTGGATATTTGGCTCTGTGGACTAATGAGTTTGCAGATCTCTGGACTAGGCACGCTCCAAATGCTCAATAGTTAGACGTGGCGAGAGACTCTGCATGGGATGGTGCGAGTCCAGAGCCCGGGGGCCGTTTGGGTTGGAAACATAAAAACTTGACCCCTGTGTAGATGACATTTAAGACCGTGGATAAGACTTGTCTAGGAAGACGGGGGATCGAGCCTTGAGGACTTTGAACATGTCCAGGCTGGCGAGGAAGAGTGTCCTTCCAAAGACAGAGGTAGGAGAACCGTGAGAGCGTCATCCCAAATGTCAGGGGAGCCCAGGATCTTGGGAAGGAGGAAATGAGCAGCAGTTAAGTGCTCCAGGAGGTCAAAGAAGACATGGACTGAACGAACATGTTGGCTGCATCAGTGAAAGAAAGGTCACTGGTGACTTCATCAAGGCCTGTTTCACACGGTGGGGGGGGGGGGGGGAAGAGAGTGCAATCAGGGGGGAGGGGGAGAGCCGAAAGGATGAGTAAGAGGGAAGTGAGGTAATGGGGAGAGGACAGACAACGGGAGATAAGAACTCATTAGCTCCTGGCTTCAACAAAGCTGGGAATGGCTTAAACCAGTCGTCGGAAAACTCATTGGTCAGCAGAGCCAAGTATCAACAGTACAATGATTAAAATTTCTTTGGAGAGCCAAATGTTTTAACCTTAAACTATCTAGGTAGGTACATTGTTATTAGCTTAACTAGGGGACTCCTAAGCTGGCCTTTGCTAAACACTCAAGGGGCCAAAGAGCCGATGGTGGCTCGCCAGCTGCAGTTTGCCGACCACTGGCTTAAACCAAACCAACGTGCCATCAATAGCCTAGAGAGATGTCTTCAAATACTGGGTTTCTCCAATGTGGGGTCTTTTGTCATGAATATGGGGAGGCACACCCCTACTGCTCCTCCTTCCTACCCTAACTCTCTCAGAGAGGGAGTGTGAGCGAGGCCAAGAGGGGGCTTGGAGGCCATGTTAACAGTATGGTGTGGATCCTCACAGAAATAGAAAGACATGGGAAGCATTTTTTAAAAATATAAAAACATTTTACTAACTAGAATTTGGAGCAAACACAAGAAGACAGAAAAGTATAACAAACCACCAGGTACCACTCATCGTCTGGCCCCGAAATGCTTCCGCCTTCAATCCTGCCCCATCCATATGCCCATCCACTTTGACTGGAGAGTTCTCAGCACAGGCTTGACTATATTTCTGCTAAGGTCATGCTTGCTGCTGGGTAGAGCAGGGGTCAAGCAAACTTCCTCTTGAAAGGGCAAGAGAGTAAGTTTTTGTTTTTTTTTTAATTATCAATTTTATTTTATTTTATTTTTAAAAATATTTTTATTGATTTCAGAGAGGAAGGGAAAGGAATAGCGACAGAGAAACATCAGTGATGAGAGGGAATCATTGATTGGCTGCCTCCCGCATGCCCCACACTGGGGATCGAGCCCACAACCTGGGCAGGTGCCCTTGACCGGAATCAAACCTGGGATTTTTGAGTCCGCAGGAGGCCAACGCTGTATCCACTGAGCCAACCCAGCCAGGGCACAGAGAGAGTAAATCTTTTAGGCTTTGCAGGCCACACTGTCCTCTATTCCAGCCACTCAACTCTGCTGCTAAGGCGTGAAAGCAGCCACAGCCAATATGTACACAGTAAGATGTGTTCCAGTAAGACTGGGCAGACAAGAAGCAACCGATGGATGCATAAATAAGTGGCACAATAACTGTGTTCTCTCCAGAGTCTAGGACAAAATACAGACACACAAGAGTATTAGTAAAAGTACGAATATTTTTTTTTACTATTATTAATAAATAATAGTAATTTGTAAATTACTATTAATTATTGGGGGGGAAATGAACGGCAGGAGCGAAAGCCCCACGTCCTCTACGTTATGGGCTAAGGAAGGTGGCAGGTGATCTGAAAGGGGAGAAGAACACATCGTTTGGAACACCTGTGGGAAATGGGGAGAAAGCCGGGGACTCCAACGCCCCGCACTCAAGACAAACGTCATTAATTGTATGTGCCTTGGGGGTGAGGTGAGGTCCACAGAGAAGAGGGCTCCCGCCCAGCTGGTGGTAATTGGGCTTCTCTTTCCTGGGGTTGGTTACAAAATTATAGAGGCTCCAGACAGACTAAGCAGGTGGAAGGGGGAAAACCACCCACCGGAGGGCCTTCTGTGAATGGCACAGAATTTAAGGAATGAGCCCAAAGCTTAGGGTTTTTTGTTGTTTGTTTCACGCTTCTATGATTGAGAGAGAGAGAGAGAGAGGAAAAGAAAACAAAACCCTCAACATAAACATACCTGCTCTTTGGCAGCGGGGAATTCTCAATTGGCTGGAAGTGAGTTTCGGGACAGAGTGCCAGCTACTGTCCCTTCTCATCTGTGAGACAAGCAGTAAAAAAAAAAAAAAAAAGAAAGAAAAAAGAAAGGGGACCTCTTACCCCAATTCCTCTCTCCTTGCTTCTATTTCTATCGGAATTGTTTGGTTAGTAAGCAAGGGCTGCCAGGGCGCTCAGTGGGTATTATATAATGTACTATCGTGCGTGACTATTTCAGAGTTCAGGCGGCAAAGAGGTCTGTTTTTCATTGTTGAGAACTAGAGGCATCATGACCGGTATCTGGAATTCTTTTTCCGGATGAATGTGGAGATGTTTAGGTTGCTTGAGATTTTCTTGTGTGCACAAAAGTAATGAAAACCAGCGGAATATGAAGCTGGTTTTTGGGTGCTAAATAGTCCCTTTATGAGCTGCAGGTTGCCAAAATAATAATAATAATAATAATAATAATGATGATGATGATGATGGGGGTCTTGCTTCCCACAAATGTGCTTAGTTTCAGGATGAGAGTTTTTATTTTTATTAAGATTCTCCAATTTAACATGATCTCCTCTTCCCAGCAACTTGCTTCCTTCCTTATAACTCTACTTGGTAATTTATGTGAGTATTAATTTACTTAGCTATTGGTTTTATTGCCCACCCAGTTTTTTTTTTTTTTTTTTTTTTTGGTTCATCATGAATGAATCTCCAATATGTAGAATACCCAACATAGCGTAGGTATTTGGTGAATATTTGTGGAACCAATGAAGGGATCGATTCCCTTTTACTACACTCAGGACAATTCTCTTAGAATAAGAAGATTTTATAAACTAGAGTTTTGGAGAACTTTGCATTCTCAATGAATTAGCCGTAGCTGAATATTTCCAGATATGTAGCCGGATGGTGCAGTCTGGAGTTGGATGGAGCTTCTGGTTTGGGGTTTGTTAAGACTGGGAGAGGATTGTCCATCCTTGAAGCTGGATAAGTCCAGGCCATTTCCTCCACCTTCTAGACTCGCAGAGAAGTGCCTCTGAGTGGACCTGCAGGGGACTTGAGCAGGAGGAAAGCTGCTCCGGCAGGCAGTTGGGGTTCCCGGAGTCTCTCTGAAGGGTTGGCCGCGGGTGCCAGAACCAGCTCTGCTGCTTTTCCTGCAGAGCCGCCGCCGTTCCCGGGCCTTCGCTCCCCGCGGAGGAGGAGGAAGGTACAAATCCAAGGTATTCCTGAGCAGCAGCAAAGCTCCGTAAGAGTGCTGCTTTGCACATTTTTAACCTCTCGGCGGGCTTTATGCATTCACTTTTATTGTGGTTAAGTATAAACATCCCATTTGAGTCATTTTTTAAAGCGTCCTTTTTTGTGTGCAAATTACACAGAGTCACACGGGAGTTTGAAATGTGCATCTGGGCCGCGGCCAATGAGAGGAAAGGCTGGAGCTTCTTTCCCCCTCCCAGGACCTCCCTGCAGGCAGGGCCTCCGCCGCGAATCTCCATCTTGCTGGACGGGGCGGTCCGCGTGGCCTCGGGGAAGCTCGGCTGCCCAGGGGGGGGACCGACAGGTCCTCCCGCGAGGGGCCCAGGCGCCGAGGCTGGGACCGGGAATCCCCGAGGCCAAGAGTCCCACCCCCTGCCCTGTCGGGAGGTGCCGGCCCTCTGCTCCTCGGGGGTCTTTCTCAGCTCCCCCTCTTCTCGAGGCGCCGCCCCCCAAACCCCCGGCTCCTCCAGGAGGTGCGCGCTCCTGGCGGTCTGCCGCGCGCCCCCGACGCAGGTCCTGCGCCGCCGGGACAGGAAAGGACGCCGCCCCGAGCGCGCGCGCCCCGCCCCGCCCCGCGCAGGCGCGCGCGCTCCCCTCCCCCCAGACGCGCGCACGCGCGGAGGCGGGGCCGGCGCGGGGGCGGGGCCGGCGCGCGCTCGGCGGGGGCCAGGCCCGGGCGAGTTGGTTTCGGAGCCGAGGAGGCAGCCCCGCGGCCGCGAGCGCCGAGGAGACAAAGCCGCGTCCGGAGCCCCCCGCGGGGTCGGGCCCGGGCTCCGAGGTGCCCCAGCGGCGGGAGGGCTGTGCGGACCCCGCGCCGTCCCGCCACCACCGCCGCCGCCTCCTCGCAACAGGTCCGCCGCCTCCCGGGGCGGCCTCGCTCCGCGCGCCCCTCCCCCGCCCCGCGACCCCCGGGCGCCGCCGCCGCCGCCGGACTCCGGGCCGCCGCCGGCCGCCCGCTTCGATGCGGTTCGGGTCCAAAATGATGCCGGTGAGTGGGCCAGGCGGGCTGGGCGGCCGGGGCAGGCAGGCCCGGAAGTGTGCGCGGTCGCGGGTGGGGGGTCCGGTCGGGTCCGAGCGGATCCCGGGGCCTGAGCCCGCGTGGCGGGGCCTGGGGGTGGGGGAGCGGCCGCGGCTCCAGGCTCCGGTTCCCACCCCCGGTCCCCGCGATCCCCGGGGCCGGCCGGCCCGTGTGCGGGAGGAGGGTCCCCGCCACCGCTCCCGAGCAGCCGCTCAAACTTTTCCTTTTCTCTCCGGCGGGGTCCTGAGCTTCTGCAGTGCTCGGAGGTCACACAGGGAAACCACGGGGAAAACGGGAATCTTATTGCTTAAAAAAAAAATCTTATTTGTCTTAAAAAAAATTATAAATAAATAACCCCAGACAACTTTTCGTTGGAGCGAATACACCTCCTGGAAAGAGTGCCCTCCTGGCTTGCTTTTGAATTGCATTTCGATCTTGGGATCGGCAGGAGCAGCAGCCCAGCCGCTCGGTCTGTTGCTGGAGAACTGGTTTTAGTAAATGCAAACGCAAAGGTTTTTTGTTCTTTGTTGTTGTTTTTTTTTTTTGGTCGCAGTAAAAAAAAATGCCTGTGCCCGCTGGCTGCGGGAGGATCGGTGAGTCCCCGGCCCCGCGGGCTCCGGTCGGACCTGGCCGCCAGGCCACAGGGGTCAGCAGGGTCGAGCGAGGCATTTTGGAAATGAAATGCCTGCCCGGAGGGTTGCAAGTGGCTTATGCAGGCTGCACAGCAGCATCACGTCTGCATTTGTTCAGAGAAACAGCTTTTAGACAAGTCTGCGGGTCGGAGCGACCGCACGGTTTGTTTTATCTGCAGTCACAGAGGCAGAGTCTCACTATTCTGTCCCCTGCTCCCTCTCCTTGGACCCTGGGAGGGTGTCCTAAACTTTCCTGTTGGGGAACAACCTGAATTGATTGCAATCGATCATTGAGTTTAGATCCTTTTGTGATATTTGGTCCTGCCAGGAGTCTAGGAATTTGAAAGTGTGAATAGCAATGTGCATCCTATGTTAGTTTTGAAAAAAAATTTTTTTTATTGTTTTTACAGAGGAAGGGCGAGGGGAGAGAGAGAAACATCAACGATGAGAATCATTGATCGGCTGCCTCCTGCACGCCCCCTTCTGGGGATTGAGTCCATAACCTAGGCTTGTGCCCTTGGCCAGAATCGAACCTGGGATCTTTCAGTTGGTAGGCGGATGCTCTATCCACTGAGCCTATTTTAGTTTATTGCCTGGTTATGAAGTCAATTTGTGATGTCAGAATGCCCAATCAATACAGACCTAGAACCAGGGGGAAGGACTTTGCGGTTAAAATGTTTAATTCTCCTGGGATTTACATTTCTTTGTCTCGAAATAACTCTGGCTGGCTGGCTGGCTGTGCATTTTTCCTAAAAATAGGACCAAGACGAGTGGTGGTGGTTGCTGTGTGATTTCCTCCTTAAAGATCGGTTTTATGCCCAGGTATCCTTTGGGCTTTCTTAAGACTTTTGTTTCCTCCTCCCAGCTTTTTACAGAATTTGTAAAAAGTTATGTAGCTCTCGAAACTATAGTTAGTTGAGCAGTCTGGTTCTCCCAATCGCCTTTCTAATGTCAGAGGAGAGTTTTAGCGGAAGGACTCGGTGGTGTGGTGGCTCGGGTACCGCCTCTGAAGCCAGACTAATCCTTAGTGTTTGCTCAGCTACTACCTCTGTGGCCAGAGGCTTTTTTTCTGTTTTCCTCCATCCTCCCTCAGTTTCATCAGCTGTAAAATGGGGATAATTACAGCCCTGCACCCTTAGGGTGGTGGTGAGGATCAGAATTACTGTTTATGAGGCAATTAGTTCAGTGCCTTGCTTTGAATAGATGCTAGGTAATAGCTTCTCCTGGATTTACAGTATTGGCTAAACCGAGATATTCTCTCTCCCTCCCTCCCTCTCTCTCTGTCTCTCTCAAGATTTATTTTTATTGTTGAAATTATTTCAGATATGTGCCTCCCTTTCCCCCACTGACCCCTTCTAGCCCACACCAGCCCCACTTAAACTGAGGCTCTTACCCTTACATAAACACAGGAACCATTTGCATTTAGTAACCTCATGTTATGTGTGTCTTTATCCTGTAATATTTTGGGTACTTGCAAATAAGACTTTTCTTAAATATATTTCTCATCTCTCAGCTTTTTAAAAAAAAATTACTACTAAATATATTTTTATTGATTTCAGAGAGGAAGGGAGAGGGAGAGAGATACAGAAATGATGATCTCGGCCGGTGTGGCTCCGTGGTTGAGTGTCGACCTCTGAACCAGGAGGTCACCGTTAGATTCCCAGTCAGGGCACAGGCCCGGGTTGCTGGCTTGATTCCCTGGTAGGAGGCGTGCAGGAGGCAGGCGATCAATGATTCTCTCTCGTCATTGATGTTTCTGCTTCTCCCTCTCCCTTCCTCTCTGAAATCAATAAACATATATTTTGAAAAAAGCTTTCAAGTTCTAGATTTGCAGTATTGTATTTGTATGACTGTACCATATGCTGAAAGGATTCCTTCTGTGGCTGAGTAGTAACATAGCAAGTTAGCTTACGTTTCGTTCCAGAGTCAAGTTTAAGGTAGGTTCTGTATAGAGCTGTAATTCCTAAAGGCTGCTGAATGAATCACACGTTAAAAAAAAATGTGCAAGGTATCTCACATTTCATGTGCCGTAGTGAAATTTGTTGCCTTGGGACTTCTGCTGTGTTAATTAAAAGCCGAAAAGCATTTAAATTTTTCTGAAGTTTTACCTGTTAAAAAAAAAAAAACGCACACCAAAAAAACCAACCAACACAAATTTAGACTGCATTAGTGTACAGCTGATTATCTTAAAAAAATAATTTGGAATAATCTGGAAGGGATATGGAGTGTCCTTTATTCAGACGCTGCTTCTAGGAGGAACTGCTTCCCCCCACTTCATGTCCTCTGTCCCCCAACAGCAGGCGGTAAAAACAAAACAAAACTTCTCCTTTCTGGAGGTTTTTTTTTTTTAACATATATTTTTATTGATTTCAGAGAGGAAGGGAGAAAGAGAGAGAGATAGAAACATCCATGATGACAATCATTGATCAGCTGCCTTCTGCAGACCCCCTACTGGGGATCAAGCTGCAATCAATTCATGTGACCTTGACTTAGAATCGAACCCAGGACCTTCAGTCCGGAGGCTGATGCTCTACCCACAGCGCCAAACCAGCCAGGGCCCTTTCTGGGATTTTTAAGGAATACCATAGCCCTTTTCCTTCGGTTCATCTACCGGAGTGGGCGGCACTCTCTACACCGTCTTCCCAAGGTTCACTGGGCACTGAGCCCGTCAGCTCAGACAGGGTAACTGCGTACAGATCCACATGGGTATGGCTTGCCGTAGGTACTAGTGTTATAAACCTCACCAACCTTCTCTACTGAGAATAAGAAGGGTGGGATGCAAGAGTTGAGGAATCTGGAGTGTTCTTTCAGGTCCTGCCACTTCATCCAGTCAAACGTTACTGAAGCGGTTGTTTTTCTGGATGGTGTGCTAGGTACTCAACAGAACATTCTTCTGTCATCAAAGTAACTGAGAAAAGAAAGCATGATTGATGGCAGCTGGGTATGCGATGTAGACTTATGCTGGGGTGGTAGGTGAGGCGTTGACATTTTACATCGCATGCCTGGCAGGTGCGGCTCAGTTGGTTGGGCATTGTCCTGTGCTCCGAAAGGTTGCCGGTTCGATTCCCATATCAGGGCACCTGCCTGGGTTATGGGCTCAATCCCCAGTCGGGGGCGTGCAGGAGGCAGCTGATCACTGTTTCGCTCTCACATAGATATTTCTCTCTCTCCCTTTCCCTTCCTCTAAAAATCAATTTTAAAAATGTCATTGGCTCTTAATAGAACATTGGTAGGTGGAACTCAGGGTACTAATGATTGGTGAAGGTTTAAAAAGCAGCTGAATGGCCTCAGGAATTATATCAGGTGGGAGCATGAGCCGAAGTCATAATAGGCTTCAGCAGTGATTGATGTTTCTCCCCCTCTCCCCGCTCCCTGCTCCCCTCTCTTCTTTCCCCCCTCTCCTTTCCCCTCTTTCCTCTCCCCTCTCCCCACTCCTCTCTTCCCTCTCCCCTCTCGCTCCTCTCTTCTCTTTCCTTTCCCCTCTCCCATCTCCCTCTAAAAATCTATTTTTTAAAAAATCTTTAAAAAATTTACATCTCATTGGGGAGAGCCAAGAAACTGTAGTCATTGGGAGATCCTTCAGGAGCACTGAGCATTAGGGGGACAGTGGTTCTTAACACTTCGCATTCTGTCTTATAAAATCATCTTGTCAAAGAAATGCAAATCCTAAACATAGAAGCAACTCCACTAACTGGCCACTGGGGTCACTTTTAGTTTTATTTGTCCACATAAAACCTATCCCAAACCAAATTACTTGTTTGGATGATAACAGAGTCAGGTTTTCATTGAGAATGTTTGTAAATACCTGTTGAACAGATGGCCCCCGAAAGGCCACCCATAAATAACCCGCAGGCCAATGAGGAGGAGTGAAGAGCAGTGACTCCGTGTGATTTCATTCACCATCAGCCCCCAGCGTGTGTCCAGCAGATCCATCCCATTCGATGGAATCACTACTCCCTACTGCACAGAAGCACGAGCAGAGACCGTGTCCGGGGCCCCCATCTGATGTGCCACCAGCAGTGGGCATCCCTCCGGCCGCTGCCGCCCCACCCGAGCCTCGGAAAGGGCTGGGGACTGACAGTCCCAGCTCCCAGGGCCCTTTAGGATTTCCCACCCTCCGCTCCTCCCTGCACCAGTCCACTTCGGATTCTTTCCTTCCTCCGTCATCACCTTCAAGCCCTTTAAACCCGGTTAAAAGACAGATTAGCCAGCACCCACATACCAAAGGTAATTACCCCTTCCCTTCCCTCCCCAGCGGGGGAGCAGAGGTCCCTAAGGAAGCTTAGGGGGTAGAAAAGTCACTGAGGTGCCGCCATCGCCAGGGTGAGAGGTGAGAGA